CAGGAATGAGGACAAAAAGTAGATCCTTGCTTGTCTGGAATCCCAAAGTTTTCTTACCTGGAGGCCAGGAGCATCAACAAAATTGCTTGTTCAGGAGTAAAGTAATTCTGGTCAGGCAGAGGCAATTAATTCTTCATGCTTCTTCCTGCAGGAGTGGAGTTGACTGGAACCAGCTTCTCTGAGATCACAACCACCATCAGCAAAATCACCTTTGAGCATTCAGACACCCACTACAAACCTGGAATCCCCTTCTTTGGGCAGGTAGGGAAGCCTTGAGAATGGAATGTCATGAGTGCCAAACGATCATGCTACTGAACCTCCTGGACAGACACATGCCCCCACCTCTGCAAAGATGCTGGATCTCAGTGCTGCTAATGCCTGTGGGCCTCCTCTCCTCTGCAGGCTCTTGAACTGGGGAACAGCAGCTGAGAGCACAGTCATCATTCTGTGTACTCCTCTGTCTCTGCACTTGCTTCTCCAGTCAAGTAGAATTCTGCTTTTCCAGTCTCCTGTTCAATGGGAGACCTCAGGGGTGTGAGTGCATGTCAATCTCCATGTCCACTCCTCTGACCCAGAGGTGGAAATAAGAAAGGGACAAAGAAATCAGACTCTGAAATTTTGCAGACGTCTCTGAAAGAGAGAGATGATGCACGTGTGGAGGCTTTCTTGTCTGACATGAGCCCAACCTCCTTAGCTTGGTGGTCTATCAGTCTGTTCAGGTGACAGGCATTCCTCACCTTCTATACCGTGCTGTTTTTTGCTCCTCCAGGTGAAACTAGTGGATGGGTCTGGTGCTCCAATCCCCAATGAAATTGTGAGGATTTCTTTACAAGGAGGCCAAGTAAATAACTACACAACAAATGAAGAGGGTAGGGCACGGTTTGCCCTGAACACTTCCATGTTGTACTTCAGTTCTGTTGGAATTAGGGTGAGTCCTGTGGGCAGAGGAGGGGATGAAGTGACCCATAAGGCTGGAAGGGGAGTACCTCTGAAGTTTCTACTATATACGCAAAAGCACTTAGCTTCTTGTTCCTGGTTGTGCCAACCTTGACATCAGCGTGGTGGAAACAGCTGTACAACAAACCAGGTTGCCACGTCCCAGTCACACTTAGCTTGTGAGGGTTTGATTTCTGCTCGGCAATGGGGTTAGAAGGAACATCAAGAGATCATAATAGTCCATTCTGCTCTGATCTAGACAAGGGTGGGTCTAACTCCCATGGTGGAATGCTGCTAGTGCTTCGCTGTCTTTTCAATTAAATGATTTCCCAAGTATCTCATCTAAATATCCTTTGTGGTCACTTAAGGCAATCTGAAGCTCTCAGGGTTTAATTTAGTATTCCAAGTTTCTAAGCTGTCCTCTTTATTTTTTTCTTTATTTTTCTTTTTCCTGCCATAAAGAGGAAAAAAAAGAGTATGAACCATTCACAGAAATTCTCTCCCTGGTGTGGAATTTGTTTATCTGGGAAAAAGAAGTGCTGCTGAGCATCCTTTTGTTAGTGGAAAATCCAATATGTGCGTAATATGCACATTTCATGATATCTCACCTTGGAATAGGACAGATTGTCTAGAATTATATTTGCTCTTCTCCCTACAATTCTCTTGTCACAGATTAAAATAATTAAAAAATATCCAGAAGTTGCCATTAGGTGCTTGAAGTTTTTGGAATTTTGCAGGGTAAAGAAAACTACACCCAAGTATAGTGAGAAAGAAAAGGAAATAAGGGCACATGAGGCACATGAAATGCTGACATAGCGTCCTTCTAAATGTGAAATATCTCCCTCTTGTTCTCATTTTTAAGAAGATTTGGACTCTCCCAGTTCCTAAACTTCAATTTAGATTTTGAATTCCCAGGTGGAAACTTTTTCCTCCTTTTCCACAGCATCCTTAGCTTAATCTTGGCACTCGTAACCTCTGAACTAAACAGCACTATCCCTTCTCCAGCACCAATAATGAGAAGAAAAATTAAATTCAGCTTCTCTTCTCTTTAAACTTAACAGGGTATTAAAGAAGGCAAGGTATTAGGGTAACGAGCCCCTGAAGTGATACTGATAGTAAACAAACAACCGCTATGATTCAGCTTGTTTGAGACAAACTCCAGCTCCTCTGGCAGTGAGATCATTTCCATTGATTTGCTAAGGGTACCACCACCATGTCTTCCATCTTCCAAACTCATGGTTAGGTTTTTTGGGGTTTTTTTGTTTGTTTGTTTGTTTGTTTTTTGTAGACTATCTTATTCCTTAAATACAAAAAATACCAAATCTTTAATACCAGGCCATAAATTTTGGCTTCAGTTCAGCCATCTGTGTTTGAGGATCTATGTGTGTATTTTTTTCCTTTTCCAGGCAACTCATAAAGTACAACCCTACTGCTACGACCGTTCCTGGGTTGTTCCATATTATGAAGAAGGCTATCTCCAACTAAAGCGCTTTTACTCTCCTAGTAATAGCTTCCTCAAAATTGAGCCCAAGTCTGAGACACTAAGCTGTGGCACCTCCACAGAGGTCCGGGTACACTATATCCTTACTCCAGAAGCCATAGGAGAGCAGAAGAAAATTGTCTTTTACTACCTGGTAAGCTTGCACCTGCCGTACAGTGAGTGAGGTTGTCACTGGTTATTGTAGGGGGGCTGGAGATGGGAACTGTGGTTTGTGGCAGCAGGCTTGAAACACTTCCACATCATCCCTCAGACGTTCTTGTCCCACAAAAAGAAGGGTCTGGGTTAGGAGCAGAAGAGTAAGGATGTCCCAGTGCCCTCTGGGTAAGCATTGGGATTCTGCTACAGGGAGGCAGAGAGCAGCTGAGCAGGGTGCGTGCAACAGCTCAGTTGCTCTCCTCTCAGGTTCCCCCTCTTTAAGGTTTGGCTCATGCATAAGCCCAGTCACAGCAGGGTTTCTCCTTCCATTCAGGTGATGGCCAAGGGAATCATTAAGCAAGCAGGCACCCACATTCTGGATTTGGACCAGGAAAGTGGTGAGTTCCTCTCCCCTGGCAAACTGTTGCTGTCCTGGGAGGCTAGACAACTAGAGGGAGGAGGCAACTGTGTCCAGAGGAGGGATACAACATTGGGGAAGGGTTTAGAGGGGAAGGTGTATGAGGAGAGGCTGAAGTCGCTTGGTTTGTTCAGCCTGGAGAAGAGGAGACGAAGAGGAGATCTCATGGCCATCTAGAACTTGCTCCCAAGGGGAAGAGGAGGGGCAGGCACTGATCTCTTCTCTCTGGCCACCAACGAATGCCAGGGCCAGAGGAAATGGCAGGAAGATGTGGCAGGGGAGGGGGAGGTTGGCCATGATGAAAAGGTTCTTTAGGCAGAGGGTGGGGGAGCACTGGAACAGGCTCCCCAGGGAGGTGCTGATGGCACCAAGCCTGACAAGATTCCAGAAGCATTTGGCCAACATGTGCCCTTAGACATATTGTCTGAATGTTGGGCTTGTCCTGTGCAGGGACAGGAGTTGGACTGGATGATCCTTGTGGGTCCCTTCCAACTCACAACAATCTGTGATGATTCTATGATAGCTCTGGCAGACATACAGGCTGCTTCCCTGTAAATGCAGGGATCCACATCTCCATGTCCCCTAAGATCTGGGAAGAGCTGGAGCTTTCTTTTCTCTGCCTTTATTGAGGTTTTTCACAGATTTGCTCTAATCCCCTGTGCCAGCTGTCTTTCTTCTGACACTGCATTTCTGGAGCTCTAATGTTCCTAAGGAGACACAGACAGCTCTGTTTTTAGAAGCTGAACCAAAATTGAGCATGCTTATGCACTGGGAAACAGGACTTGAAACAGACCTTTTCAGTCAGACAGTGAGATTACACATCTCTCTGAGCACCAATTCATGCCACTTGGAGTTTCATCAGGGCTTGGATGAAGTTCAGCATGAAGTCAAACCTAGAATTTTGGCTACTCCAAGAGCAGGTTTCCTGTACCTTAACTTTTTTGCTGTTGTTTTCTTTGCCAGCCAATGGGCTCTTCTCACTACAGCTGCCTGTAGAAGCTGATATTGCTCCAGTGGCCCAAGTGCTTGTCTACACCACTGGTCCCAGCAGGGAGGTGATCGCTGATTCAGCCAAGTTCAATGTAGAAGAGTGTTTCAGCAACAAGGTAAGTGTCCACTTCTTGAGGGAGCAGCCATCAGACTGCAGCATGGCCAAGCTCATTTATTTAGATTTAGCCTGGCTAAGCTCTTTTATTCAGATTTACTAACACTGGACAAGCCACCAATCAATCGTTCTAGGTAGCTTCACTGCTTACTGGTTTGTGCTAGCTTGGAGGAGATCAGCTGTTGGAAAAAAAAGGTTCTAGTAGGGACTACACTGATAAAACCCCTCTTAGCAACTAGTTGCAGCCACAGATCTCACAGATGGTCCTGGTTAAGAAACAGGGAGGCCACATGTCTTATGTCATACTGCAACCCATGTATTTCACTCCGTTTCTCACAAACTGGTTCCAGCAATGAGGTGGCTGCTTGTGTGGTCACAGAGCAAAAATAAAACACACACAGCCCCAGTCCAGTTAGCGGGAGGCTAATACTGGTCAGATCAGTCAACTCCTGTACATCTCATCCTGTCATTTTAATTTCTGTTTTATGTAATTGGAGATAAACCTTGGCTGAACCTGCTGAGCAATGCATAGTGGTGCTTCAATAGCAATGGTGAGACTGAAGGAGTGCAGAAAAACAAAGCCTTCTTTCTGTGAGCATGTATGTTCTCTTATAGCTCCACATATTCCTCATGCAGAAGAGCAGATTGATGTAGGAAGAGCTCTAAGAAAAGAATAACCTCAAAAATTCCCATTGGGACTTCAGAATGGTAGAGAGGACACTGTTAAAGGCAGTCCCTTGTCCTTTTAAAACCCAAGCTAAATGAATTTTTGAGACTGGTGTCACTGTAGAAGCTTGGTCATCTGAATTGTGTTCATATATTAAACATCATACTGGGCACTGCATGAAGGTCTGGATGCAAGCCAAGTGCCAAGTGATTTACATCACTTAGCTACTGCTTTCCTCTCTGAAAGCATCCTGAGTTCAAAGCTGTTGGGAGACTGGACAGGACACACTTTGGGCTATCTCTACGCTAGACAGTTTTTCTAGTAGCAAGGTTGCTACAGGCTCTGTCCTGCCATTTCCTGAAGAATATTGTTTTGTAGTTTCAAGATTATGAGTCCACCCTGGGAGAGGTGGGAGGTGTCAGCAGAAGGCATGCTGTGGTCTGATTGGGACATGAGAGAGACTTGCAGCTGGTGCTGCTTTGTCGGGCAACATGTTTAGTTTGAGGATGCTTTGATCATTGCCTGTTAGGGGAGGGTTTGAACTGCTGAGGAGAGGGAAGATGGATGCAGCTCAGCCATCTGATTACAAAATCATGTGAGACAGTGATGACAACTTCTGCTAACAAGGCCTTCCAGGGCAGAGGTTGGTAGGGAGTCATTAGAGTTGTGAGTTAGGTTCTGGGGAAGGTACACAAGTCTGGCAGGCCACAACCAACAGGCCAGTTCTTCAGATGCATTACCAGCCACTAGATATTGCAATATTGCTCCAGGGCATCACTGTTTCTCATGTTACCAAAGAATCTGCTAAGCAAGGTCTTTGCAAGCCTGTTTTCACTCCATATACAATATCTGGGTGCAGTACAGAGACTGGACCTGGTTCAAGACCATGCCCAGCTGCCTGAACAGATCTTGCCACTGGCCACAAAACCCAAAACTGCCTTAAAAGTTTTATGAGCAATTGTGATACTTGAAGTTACCAAGAACTGTTAGTGCTGATTCCTCTGGCTCTGCAGGAAGGAAAACCAGCTCTGCAGTAGCACAGAGGGAGTGGGGTGGGGGCTGTGGGCTTTGTAAGGTTGGAACTGATGCACTCAACTGGAGGGAAAAGTCCTTCAAGGGTAGGGCATCTGTGACGGAGCTTTTCCTGTGGCTACAGGTGGAATTGAGCTTCTCTCCTTCTGAAGGCCTGCCTTCTTCTGATGCTCACTTGCTCTTCAAAGCCTTCCCGAACTCCCTCTGTGCTGTCCGTGCTGTGGACAAGAGCGTTCTCCTCATGAAGCCAGAAGCTGACCTGTCACCCAGCTCTGTAAGTGCTTAGTCTGTGGAGCAGCTTGGAGCCTGGTCAGAACAAGCACAGCCCAGTGCTGGGGTGGAAACAGTGAACAGTCCCTCTTGTCAGTGCTGACACAGGAAAGCTGCCCTGTGCTGCTTCTTCTCTTCCTCCAGTGGGCAAAAATATGAGAACTGGGCAGCTGTTTCTTCATGGTTTTGTGCAACTGTAGAGATAGCATTTAAGAAGCTCTTTTAAAGGAACTGCTTCTCCTGGCCAGAGCCACACACTGTTGTGTATCTGATGAGCAATTTTCAGTTATTCTCTCCAGACATGGATTAATTTTCTTGGAGTAGCATCTGGAAGTGTCAGAGAGTTTATTCCTCTCATGCTAAGCAGCATATGCCAATCCCTGAATAGGGACAAAGTACTGCAGAGGGGCTGGCCAGTGTCATTTTTTATAGATTTGAGCCATAATAACCAGAGCAGCACGCTGTCCGTAACAAAAGAGGCAGTTTCTCCAAATTTGGGTCTCTTTTTTGTCTCTCAAATTCCCATTGCTCCCACCACGGAGAGGACCATGGCAATGTGGATGTATGTGCAGGTGGTGTGACTGTTATGGTGCTTGCATCCAATTCCCTCAGTTGTGTTTTGTGACAGTGGCCAGTGAAAATGCCAAACACCTTGGCTCTTTCTGCCTAGGTGTATAGCTTGCTGCCAGTGAGGGAACTGCATAACTATCGCCATGGACCAGACATGCTCTTGGAGGAGCCCCAGGAGGATTGCACCCCCTTGAAGACGATAGTTCTGAATGGAATCACCTATTCTCCAGTAGTGGAGACGAACGAAGAGGACACTTACAGCATCCTGAAGGTATATCCCTCTTGCATGGTTAGGGATTGGAGTGAGAGAAGGACTGAGAACACTGAAGCCTTCTGTGGCATGATGGAACAAAACAAGGGAAGGGTTTGTGAATATGAATGATCTGACACTAATTTCTATCCAGAGGCAAGTCCAGTGACAGTCGTAAGCTTCACCTATCTTGGCAGTTTTGCTCCTGACTTGGCTAAAAAGAGATCAGTCTCAAAGTTTTCTTCTTAAATAAAAGCTTTGAGGTTGACTTGAAATGAGGTTCTAATGGGAGACAAATAATCCTGTGCTGTTACAGTTACCCCAGATAAATCAACGTGTCCTTGAGCTGCATCGTAGTCACAGACATTTCCTTCCAGAGAGAAAACTCTGTAGCTACTCCCTGGCTCATCTTGACCCTTAGGCTGGCATTGGACTGGAACCAGTGCCCTAGAAACAGAGGGGATCTACCCTTTGGTCTCTTTAAGCCACCCAGGCACCCAGACCCAAGGTTGGGTGGATCATCTTAAGGTCCAGATTGGACAGCTTCTCATTTTGAGGCAATAAAATACCAATGTCAGGTCTGCTGTGTAAACTTCAACAGGAAGCAGTAACAAAAAAATATGTTGGGTTTCTCTCCCATAGGAAATGGGTTTAAAGGTTTTCACAAATACCAAGGTGAGGAAACCTTGGTATTGCAGCACTGAGAATTACACGCCCGCAGAAGCCCGCCTGGCGCTAGGTGCACCTGGAGCACCGATGCATGCAATGAGGACAAGCGGTAAATGAACTGGGTCTTGTTTTATCACCTCTCTTCTGAACAGAGAACCTGCCTGTATTTTGGGGTGGATACTTAAACGAGAGCTGGGGTTGTGGATTGAACCCTTGGATGGAAGTGGTGGGTTCAGAAATGTCAGCTTCTGCATGAGTGTAGGGCTTCTCTCTTTTGATCGGTTGTGAAAGTCTACTGACAAGCTTTGGTAACTCCACATTGGAAGTCAGCAGAACCAGGCAGTTTTCAAAGACTCTGGCAGAGCAGAGGTTATTATTCTGCTGCTGAATTCTCTGTTCACTAGGCTTTTACAGCAGACTTCCCAGATATCACTGAAAGGGTCTCCAACACCACTTGGAGTCTGTCCTCATTGACTCATCCCATTTTATGTACGGTCAAAAATGGACAAAGTAGATGACAAAATTTTCAGTGACAAGCTGGTAGACTTTGGGGGCTTAGAATGGTCAGATGCGTGTGGCAGAAGTCCAGTCTGAAATGGACCCACCCTATTCCTAAGGGTTGTCTCAACTCTTACACTCTAGCTCTTTGGGCAACAGAATTGGCCATATCATCCCCCTGAGTCTCATATTAAGGGAGATATCCTAGAAAATCTACGTTATTCTAGTTGGAGAACTGATTCAGAGAGTTCTCCCTTGGCACAAGAACCTCTGCTTTTGTACATGTCCAGTTTTAAGACAATTTCAACTTCTGACAGAAGTTGCTAAGGTGCAGGATAGATGCTTTTAAATTATTTTAAAATGAAATAGGCAGTAGTAGGAGGATTGAAATACCATGACAGACAAATAAAAGCAAGGTACTTGTCACTCTTGCTAGGAGCTATGTGATACAGCTGTGATTGATAGCATCTTTCACTCGTGCCCTGAGACCTTCTCAGACTCTGGAGGTACCTGTTGCACAGATAGTATGGATATTTTTAATCTAATAAATTTATAATATATAATA